ATATATATATTATATATATATATATATATAAATAAACCTGAAACAAGATCTTTAAACTTTATCTGCGAACAATAGACCCATTCTTTGTAAATTAATCGTAATCTTTTCTTGGAGGTATATTCTATTCTTATTCGTCAAGCTATTCTAATTTATGAGAACCATTTACGATAATCGAGAAGTCTGTCATCAAAGGAAATACAAGGACGAAGCGACCGCAGATCCGAGCAAGAATCGGAGGTTTTTGTTTCGCTCGCGCCGAAGAGGCGGGAATGCGCAGATACGATAAGATTATAATGAACCGAGCATGATTTTCGCGCCCTTCACCCCTTCCATTCCAGTACACGTGACAAATGAGCATTTTGCCAAGGAGAACGCGCATTTCGCCGATAATAACATGTCGGCAGGTATTCAGAGGGATGTGCGTAATTACGGGTGACGCGACCTACGACAGAATCGCCAGTGGATGCTTCTGCTGAAACGAGCATATGATGTATTCACAACCGCGCGCAACTTTAACCCCTTCTCGAATACCAGCGGCAATTTTGCTCTTGTGAAAAATATATGTAAATTATAAAAATACCTTCCTTCGAATTTACTAGATTGTGCTGATAGAATATATATATTTAATTAAATTTGGGCGAAACGTTTTTGTCTTGCGAAAGCAAAAACTTTGCGCAATATTTTACGTAATAGGTGAAAGGGTGGCGACAATCTAGCATTATAAGAATGTGAAGTATCGAATTATTCTGCGCGTTGTCACTCGAAAAGTAAACTTTGTCTTTGATTCAGATTGAATTATAGACACTTCCTCGCACGCTTTCCGACACGCTTTGTGATCTGCATAAATATGTGGCTAGTGAGTGCGTTTTATCCCGTCGGCGTGAGAGATATACGGCGGAAAGGTGGGCGCGGAAGGCGACTTTACGACTACGCGCGCGCGTCGATAGATACGAAGAACATAGGAGGGATTTTCTCGGCGAGAATCGGACTTCGATCTGCTTTCACGACGTCAATAGAAAGCCACGCGTAAGTAAACGCACTCGTCCCTGACCAATCCTTCGTCTAACGCGATGCTGAAAGATGATTCGCTTGGCGGTTAGTTCTGCTGGCGCGTTCGCCGATACCGGATATGCCTGTACTTAATTCGCTACACACAATACGTCATGGATCATGAAAGTGGAGCTAAGAAAATCGGCCGGAAGAAAAGTATTTCGAAACCACGAGGGATTTCACCCCTCTCAAAGATCGTCGTTTCGTCCTACTCCTCTTCTATCATTCAAACCACCTACGCAAGTGTGTGCATAGCCACCCACGCTGTACATAAGCATGCAGAGATCGTGACGATTCCCACGGAAAGAGGCGCGCGGGTTTGAATTATCTTTATCCACGGAAAGAGTTGCGTTCGAGCTATCTCCGAGAAGAAGGTTCGAGCGCAATTCGAAGAATTCAAATTGGTCCAGCCCGTTTGGCTCGTATCTTTCGAAATTCTCATCCCAGAAAAACGCTTGGGCTAGGCTACGAGCGATTAAACGTCGATTGGTCGAATCCACATACGCGCCCGTTTGGACTCCACGAGAACGAGGAACGAATCCCTCCCTGAGCAGGGTCGCATCGTGCGACGTAGCCCGAGGCTGTCCTCTCTTGCTGGGTACCCATTTTTCACGAGGTCTCTCTCTCCCACCTCGTATTCCTCTCTCCTCCCTCTTTCTCTCCCTCCTTTAGGCTCCTCGACTTCCCTCTTTTTTTCCTCTTTTAATTCCATATTCTTTTTCTCCTTTTAATCTCCCTTCGTGTAGCGTAGCCAACGCCCGTTCTCTTCGTCGCTCATGCAGCTTCTCTTTTCCTCTTCTCTCTCTCTCTCTCTCTCTCTCTCTCTCTCTCTCTCTCTCACTCTTTTTCTCTTCATCTCTCCTTCTCTTCATCTCATCATGAACTCACGCATACGCCCTCCTCCTCCATCCTCTCTCCATCTTCGATGTTCTCCCCTCCTTCATGTTTCCTCTTGCTCTTTCAATCCCGAGTCCATCTCCGTTCGCGCAACTACGGCAGCAGCGGCAGCAACTTCGCTCTCTTCGGCATCCGGCATCCAGCGTAGACGTTTCTTACCCGTATAAGAGAGAATCAATCGGACGTACATATATGAACGTACTTCGTCTCGGCGAATCTCTCTCGCAGATATCTTTCTCGCAACGGTGGTAGAAAGAAAGGAAGAAGGGACGAGACGATAGAGCTCTCTTCTCAATAAAGAAGAAGCTCTTTTTCTCTCATTCTCTTTCTCTCTCTTTCGTTCGTCGCGTTCGCCACGTCCGTTCGACGAGAGAGATGAGAGGAGAGGATTTGATGTGTGCGTACGGCGCGTCTACCTTACGATGACTCGGAAAGATGCCTCGATCATCCAAGGCAGACAGTTTCAGGCAGAAGAGGCTTTCTTTATAGCCTGCGTAGAGATAGGTCGAATAAAAAGAGATACTACCGCAAAACAAAAATTTATAACAGAGAGAGATGTATCTAAGATATTTTTCCGTCCCTATGAGACATCTACTATCATTCGGTCGACGCCTGTTTAGCGCGTATGTTCGGTGAAATGACTTCACGTCTTTATGTTAGACATCCCTTTCGGATACAGTTTGTGGTATGTGGATATCCTTCTGGTGGCAAGATAAAGAGCGAGCGTTATAAAATCGAAGCTCTCTCGACAAGGGGAGAGAGAGAGAGAGAGAGAGAGAGAAGATGGACGCGGCGGCCAGGGCTCAGATACGATAATCTTACGTGTGCGTGTCCTCCTCATTTCTATATCGCGGTCCTCTCTGCAACTACCCCTCTCAAAGTAGTAAAGCCAAAGCGGGACGGAAACTATAAGAATGAAGTCCGAAGTAAGAAGGACGCCAAGACGCCGCGATAACGTACGTCTGCGCGGCCGTCTTTGTCCCGCTTGGACAATCGACCGCATGTATCCTTCTCAAGTTAGCAACGCGGCTCGAAGCTGAAACTAGCGAGAGAACGAAAAAGAAAGAGAGAGGGAAAGAAAAAGAGGTGGTAGAGGAGGAGAAGAGGAGAGAGAGAGAGAGAGAGAGACAAGGCAGAAAGACGGTGAAGCTGGACGGAGAGACGTGATGATGCACGTGTGCGTACACCTCGATCATCTTCGTTCCTCCCATGGCAATTCTCGTCAGGTATCCCTCTGAACGGGAGGTAGCCGAACGAAGAGAAGGAGATGAAGAAGCAGTACGTTAGAGAGAGAGAGACGATTACAGAAACACGATAATGCCGGGTGGCCAGGATCCCGCCTTGTTGATGATTCGATGTTCTGTTTGTATCTGTGTAACACATCGCGCAGAGATAGTTCCATCCTGGTCGCACTCGTCTGCGAGAGCTACGAGACTCCTTGTCCGTGCTGGCTACCTGTACACCAACCCCACTAGCCTCCTACCTGTACCTATACCTGGCTTCTCTGTCCTTCCCCCCTCTTTCTCTCTTTCAACAGTGTCTCTTATCCACTTGCACTTTGCCGATCGTCTCACAGCCGACCACTCTCACCGTCCTCCTTGGGAGAACACTTGGAGAGAAAGAAAGAGAGGAACGATGGCTCGCCAGAGGAGCTTGAGGGTCTTCTACCATTCTCTTCATCTTTTCTGTCTTTCTCCATCAGAAGTGGGAGGGCGAAGAAACGGAAGAAAGAGAAAGAGAAAGAAAAAAATGCAAACGCCCAAGGGAGATAGTCTCAAAGGGAAGGCGTTATGCGCAGGTAAACGCAAGAGCGAGAGTGAGGAGAGGAGGCTCGCTGGAGCGAGGGAGGATGGAGAGACGGTAGACGGAAAACATGCGAATGGGGACGAGTGGGAGAGAGAAAGAGACAGAGGGGTGGGGGGGGGAGGGCAGGCGATAGCGCAGAGACGCGCGATCGTGTGTGAGACGCGAATGAAAGGGAGGGGGGGGATTCGAAGCACGGAGCTAACAGCGTGATGCTGGGAGGCGGCAGCAGCGACGGCCATATTGCTGATCTCGAGAGGCGAAAGAACGATCCGAGAGAGCACCGTGAAGCTGCTGGGTTTAGTGGTCCAACCCAAGGTTTTAACGGTTAAAATACTGTTTGTTGCTTCAGGCAAAGTTAGTGAGTCCTAGTCTTTTTTATTAAAAACGTTTAAATTCCAAAATCCTTCGTACAGTTCAGTTCGGTTTCTAAGTTTTCAAGTTTCTCAGTGATTGTACGCGACGATCGTCGTTGTCGCGCGCGTGAACGTGCGAGTGTGTGTCAAGCCGGTGCGCGATTATGCGATTGAAAGTACAAACAGGATACGGACAAGTCCCATAGGATACTGACATACAAATTTATGGATATCATCGATTTTTAGCGGTACGCTAAAAATATCAAAACGGAGCACGGAACGACCGAATGTGACACTTGAGACTCAGAGAAATGTTAACGTAATAATGTGCGCGTAGTGAATCGCGATTGTGACATCAGGTGACAACAGGCGACGTGATCAAAGGAGAGTTTCTTACCGAAATATTTCGCCAAGAACAACCAACAGCTTCACCGGTCAAGAACGAGAGAGAGTCAACCAAGCGGACAAACACTGCGGGCCGCCCGAAGAAGGATGCCCTGGAAAGAAAAGTAGTCCCAACGTCAACGAATTCGTCAAGACGACAGACGCCTCGGTCTATCTCGGAGAAGGTGGTGACACTATCATCCATTGAGATGTGATCCAGAACATAGGAGGGACACTTAGTAGTTTGTAGTTGGTCCCCATCTCCCCCCTCTATCACCCTATTACCCCACTAGCCCCCTCGTGACTTCTACCACCTACTCTACCTTCCCCTCTCCCCTCGTACACATGCACGTGTGATAATCCACTTCACCGCAACTTAAAGCAACCATCGGAGCAGCAGCTTCTCTCGAATACGCCGGCTACTCTACCGCTCGCAACGATACCGCTCCTCCCTCCCTTTTAATACGATCCTAATGAGTAAGTATTATCTTCACATCGTCATCAGTTTTATTACGATAGTCTAGGCCTTACTACAGCGCGCGCATCTTTGTCAATAGCTGGAGGCTACCTGCGCGATGACGCACAGGTGACGTGCAGGTGACCTACCGGTGTGAACAAGTGGATGCGAAGAATCGTAGACCATGAGGTTACCGAACGATATTCTGCCGGCAAAATGCTTCGTATTTTCTTTTCGAACCTCTTTGCGTCGCTTATCAATTTAAACGTATTGTTTTACCTTTTACAATATGTAAAACACGATATGGCTATCAGATAGTGACAATTTGTAGACGAATGAATCTCTCTTTATTTGAGATATTTCATAAAATGTAAAAATATATATGTGGCTATACTTGTAGAATTACACGTAGCTATGCTAATTTTGTATAAATAGAAAGATTTACAGAGACAAATGATTTTTACAATAATACAACTTCGTTTTTTTATTTCATGTACCCAAATTTAAGTGTAAATTAATAGTTAAAACTAATTGTTTAAACTAACAGTTAGAATTAACGGAAAAATATATGTAGACATATTCGTTATATTCATAAAAATATAATTAAAACTACAATTATACTCTTTTCATTTGATTATTCTTTACTTTGATATGAATGCACGTGGTATGTACGTCACAGTTAAAGTGTTAAGTTTAGTAAATGTACACATTCACTACAGCACAAACTATAGTAAATATATACACTTATTAAGTTAACACTTTGACACATACACAATACATAGATATTTAAAGAATTGTTGTCGCATTACTTTTTTCTCAAAGATATTCTATTCGGTTTACTAGAACTTACTAAGGACAAAAACATTACGAATTTTAGGTATAAATTGAAGCCTTGAATTTTAGAAAAAAATCTAAAAACTTTTCGGTTACTTAAAATCCATATTTCATTGCTCCATTGAATGCGGAGGTCAAAGATGACAAAGGTATAAAACGAGCACATAGTAGACCAATAATATATCATCATTCTCGCTCGAGCATGAAAAAAGCTACAGTTATACCACATACAAAGAAATATTCTTTATTGTTACGTTAAGTTCTACTCAGGAGACTTAACGAAAAAAAATCCAGAGTCAACAATAATAAGTAATTCGGATTTAGTTAGAATTATAATCCTTAATTAATAACAAAAAGCGCGAACGAGAAATGTTATTACAGCATCATTACAAGGATCTTAGATCAATAATTTAACTGTATTTTAAATCGAGCTACAAAAAGATAGTCAACGAAGTACAAGAGTATTGTCGTAATAGTTTAAGTTATCAGACTATGGCAACTCGATGAAATAGGTGTAAGAACTTAAATGCCGCTAATCTTAGTCCTAACATGAGTCAATCGTTTACGTCGCGTAAAAAAACCACGGATCCGAGAGCAAGCAATCACTCACACTTAAAAAAACATAAATAAATAGATACGATTAATAAAGCCGGAGAAAAAGCATTTGTGGCACGTAATATTGTTATGCAAAGATCGCGCCTCTTTGTCACGGTCAACATCTAAGTGAACCACCATAAGAGCGTTAGGAAATTACATCTCCTGATTACATCATCCGTACCGTGCTCAAAGAGAATCACCTGGAACTCTCACTAGATCTCAAGAAATTCACTCTCGATACACTTAACGGCAATTCCGCCGTTACAGCTGCACGCCATAGATTCTAACCGACCAAATCGCGGTCGGCACGATTGCAACACCGCGATGCACACCGGCACGAGTGGTAGGTCTAGAATCTATCGGCGGCAGGTATAACGCACGATCAAGGTATCTGGCCGCTGACAGACACATCGCCTTCGCGCGACGCGTTGACGGAAGAAGACGCTTCTTCCTCTTTGTACGACTCGACGGAGTCCTCCGTTCTCCAGAGGCATCGTCCACTGACGCGAAGCGAGGGCGTACAGGTACTTGAAATACAAACGGACTCACGGTGGTGGGTCCAATCTGATGCAGGGTTCCCTTTGAGAATCAGGTTAGACCGGCTCCTCTGAACCTGCTTCTCTGGCTTCTCGTCTCCGGTTCGCAGTTGTATACACCGGCCCAGTACGTACCTACTCCTTCTCCCTGAGTCGCCCCAATCTCCTTCTTCCGCGTAGTAGGTAGATACCTACCTACCTACTTTCCGCCGCCACCCTCTTCGACTTATCTCGGGTGCTCTTGGCCTCTCTCTCTCTCTCTCTCTCTCTCTCTTTCTCTTTCTAACAACCAGTCTTGTTCCTTCCTCGCGAACATCACACCGCGTCTCCATTATTGACGACGCGCGGTCTAAGAAAGAGAAAGAGACAGAAAAGAGAAAAGAGAAAGATACTGAGAACCGGCACCGTCCCGCGTGCTCACTCTCGATGGTCCGGCTTCCTCGTTACGTCTATTATTATACCTGTCTATCCGTCAGAGCGGTGCCCGCGAGCTGAATTCCAGTTTTACGCGCGCGCCCTCCTCCACGCGCGCGCTCACACGCGCCTACTCCGCCGTAGTAGGAGCAGACGAACGGGCTCTCGGAGAGAAGAGCAAACCGACTGGTTTTGCTAACCATCCACCTGGACAAGACCGCGCGCGAGGATGTAGAATTCGCGGTGTCAGACTGGTTGACCGACATCCGCGCGCGGATCCTTGCCCGGCGATAAGTGAATAACGCCGAACCTGCTCGCTCACTCACCGCGCGCTCAGGTTTCCGGTTTCCCAATCGCGGGAGTACGCGTCCCGCGTGCGTCAAGCTTCTCCTCCTCCCGCGGGGCCACGTGGCGCGAAACCGAGACGTGGATTCTCCAGTTCCGGCATCCACACTTGTTATGCGAAGAAAACATGAGGTTACCTGTTTGCATTTCTCCGATAGTCGCTCTGGATAGTCGCCGGTTCATCTTGTTTTTCATACTCGTTTTCATACGCGTTAGATTAGGTAACTTATAATACGGTGAATAGATAAAATGTATTTGCAGGGAGTCGTCAATAGCTATAAATTATTTCAATGCTGAAGATAACAATGTTAATAATCTTATCCTATAAACATCTTTTTTCCCTTTTTTGTTTTTTTACAGATTTTTATAGCCCGCTTTTCTTCAAACAACGTGCCATACAACCCTCAGCAACCTGTGATATAATACTCGATGCCTAATTTACGTAGACGTAGACATCTAGTCGAAGACTAGATCAGACCGAACGTTTCGTCGTCAAAAGAAAACTGCAATTCCTAAGACGACAATTTAGCCGAATCAGAACAAGCATTTAAGCATTTTAATAAGCACGAGGATTTTAGAAGATTATAGTACGAGAAGAGAAAAAAGAAAACGGAAGACGGCGCCGGAGAATGTCGACGTGCACCGACGAGGCCGATAATGCACCCTGCACTCTGTCTCCGGTTAGTTATCAACTCTCATACTTTCGAATAATAAAATCTAATACCGCATATTTTTGCATGGCTACTATTAAATTGAATTATCCGATTGTGAAAACTGCATTTCCTTAAAACAACAGAGTAAGCTTAATATACTAACAATTTATTTTCGTGATGCAAATGATGGCGAATAATTGAATTCTCTATCTCTTAATATTTAGTTTATTAATTATATTGTAAACTCTCTATCTCTATTCCAATGGGCTTTTAAAAAAATTCGAAGAATATATATAATGATTGTTTATTCTATAAACTCTCAAGGAATACAATGACATTTCTAAGCTAGAACATTTACATGATATAATTCACCACATAGATTATCGTTTGGGTAGATTATCTACATGTTTCCTTTGTCTTTTTTCTTCTTTTTATTGTTCATTCACTCATATCACGTTTCTTCATTTATCCAAACAACCACCCGTAGCGCAAAATAATGAGGATGGACCGAAGTATTATTACTGGTCATGAAAAGAATTTCTGAAACATTTCTGAGATGCCAAGATTTTGAAATAAGTTACAAGTCTGTGCGTACACAAAAACGTAATCTGTCAAGTCTGTTATTAATGTTAAATGACAAAGCATTTATGAATTTTCAATTTTGATGATAAAAGAGGCGAAATCCTTGGAAATAGTAAACCTTGAAAATAATACAGCTCAAAGATAGCAAGCTGACGTTATTTATGTTTTGACGTCAAAATGACGTCTTTATAGTGTCATTTATGGCAAATAACGTTAGTTTGCTACTTGGGAAAAAAATCAGCTTTAAAAATACGATACTTCAGAATTTAAAAAATTTTTTTTTTAAGAAAGAAGAAATTCTTTTTAAAAGAAGTACTACTAAATCGAATATGCTAAAATATTTATATTTTATTGTTCACTTTATTTATTTTAATAGCGGAAAGCTTTTAGTTATATCTAACGTTTCATTAATAGTCGAAATCTTGCATATTTCAAATTTTTCACATTGAAATCTATTGAACAATTGTTTCAAGAAATTTTACTTTCAATTGTGATATTCACTAAACTCATTTCCGATGTAATAATAAGATAATCTTCGAGAGCAAAGAAATGTGTGTGCTTTCATGAAAATTTAATTCAAATCGCCGCGGGTAGCTTCGGGTTTTTTGTAGCTTCAAAGAGCCTCGTTGCTCGAAAGTGAAATGCATTGATCAGCCCCGTTACTCGCGATACGACGTTCTGCAATGAGAAACGTGAGTATGGCGCGTAAGCCATTCTCCAGGAATACTAATAGCTCGACGGTTTATGGATAAATCCCCTCGGGCTTATTATGGACCCATTTTGCCTACTGCGCGCGATTCGCGACCTCTATAAAATGAATTGAATGTTTCAAGACCAAAAAGCTTCCCAACTTCTTGTTTTATTTGACAATAAAAAAGAACATAAAGTCAACGATCAACAACACGACAACTTAAAAATTGATGAAGGAAACGAAACTTTTTTATTTTTTTTTTTCTTCTCCTTCACTGTAATAACATCATAATTACAGACCAACATAATTATCATTATTATATGAATATAAGTGTAGCACAATTAAAAAATTCGAAAATGTTTTGCAATAAGATTGAACGTTTAAGTGAGGAAAAATTTTAAGTGAGAAAAATCATGAGGTGCGTGATTTTATTTAAAATACCATCGGTGAACATTGTAACAAAGATTAATAAAAAAAAAGTCATTTGCATTTTACTCTGCTTAAGCGTTGCGCGCAAACTCGCGTGCATAAATTTCATGAAAAGACGAAAATAAGGACTCGTTTCGCACCTGCGTCTGGCGCCTTTTAATACGCGGTTAAATCCGTTTATGACAAGCATCGCGATGCACATACCGGGTGTTCAAGTAGCCGTGTAAATATTATCGCGCTTCCGGATCGAGAAAGAGAACATCCGTGCGCTTCTTCATTGGAACGTAGACGATCGCGTTCGGTTTTCGTTATTGTAAGCGTGTACACGTTGATGTCCTTACGAGACTTCGATATTCCGATATGTAGAAACGAACGATACGTTAATCGTTCATCCGTCTCTTCGTATATACGAAGGGAATCCACCTATCTACCTGTGGACAGGACTGAACGAAGAGATTCGCTGTGCGCGGTGATGACTCTTCAGATTTCTCGTACCTGATGGTCAAACGAAGGGAACCTTCGTCGATGATCGCACCGTTCATTATGGAGATAAGAAGTAAAGGCTCTTTAATAGAATTCCGAGCGACTGGTCATTTTGTATCTTCATTAACTTTTTCGTTAACCGATTCATTATTGGGCGGTAGGTAAAAGGAAAAAAAAAAAAAAAAGATAAGGCGAGTCCCTGTAATTCGTGCACGCAAATCTTTTCTTGATTCAAATGACTCATACCGACTACAAAAACGAGATTGAAAGCGTGTAAGAAAAATGTATCGAAAATAAGCATGCACATTGGCGCGACGCCAAAATATTTTACTTACGAAACAAACTCGCGGTAAAAAGCGGAGAGCTTGATGAGTGGATGATAAGCGATAATCAACGATGACGTTAATTAAATAAGCCGTTCGATGTGAGTGCAAGATTAATAAATATTTAAAGCAGATTTTAATCAAAAGTTCACATTTTGTAACCAGAAGTTACGAAATACTTAATATCTAGTTAGCTGCGGTAATATTATTCGAGCTGCGTCACTGCGCGATTATTAAAGGCAATACATATAAACAAGCTATATTAAATATTCGATGAACAATGATGCAAAAGAAATTTCACTGGAATCACAATCGTTGCAATTTTTGCCGCAATTAACGCATTCAAGTTAACGTTTCTTACGACTAAGAGCATTAACCACATAAAGTGATGAAAAAAAAAAAAGTTGCTTTACGAGCCGTTATTTAGATGCACGATAGTATATAAAAAGACACTATATAATTTGCAGCTCAAGGCTTAAAATTCCTAACTTGCATTTATCGTTTAAGGAAGGAAAATATCTTATGAAATTATTCGATTTTTAATTCATTCCGATTTTCATCAAGTTTCATTTACTTGTTAACTCAGTTAACGGTTAATGAAATTGTGGCTTCCTTTACAAGTCGGAGACTAATAGACACCAGCAATCCTCGCTAGAGGTAATACGAGCGATAATATTTACGATAATAAAAAAGCGAATCGCGAGGATATTCCGACTGTTACGGCAAATGGACGAGGATCGTACCCTTAAGATACGTACAGTGCCGCGAAAGAAAAGCATCTAACGATTCCACGTATCTACATCCGCGTTGCACGCAGCTGCGTACTGCGTCGCGATCGGCAATAACTGCACGTTGCAAGAGGGATGTACGTGCGCGATTCGCAGCCTACGGCGACAAACGAGTAAGAAACGAGAGAGACGTTCGAATACCCGCGCGTTTTAGCCATGGACGGACGCGGACCATTCGACCGACAGACACGTTGGACTACTGTCCGGCACGAACTCTTACGAGCGCAGACCAACCGGCCAATTAACTGTTATTATGAAGAACTTCTTGCGTGTAAAGAGGACGCGCAGCATTCTAAACGAGCTGCAGCGCGACAACAATCCGTAGGATTCACGGTAGTCATTTCGAGCTGTTCGCGAAATCGCGATCGTTCAGAAGTTTTGTCGGGATTCGACAACGTTCGAACGATACGTGAAAATGGTCGTCCTTATTTCTGTGAAATAGATTTAACGATAGTGTTTTTCGTTATTAAAGGATAAGTCTTGAACGCAATCGTAAAAAATTATATATAAAAAACTGTTTTTCCACGTTTTGACGTTTTGGCGTATAGCAAACGGTTCAATAAACTTATTGTTGGACTCACCGGATTAGATTGTACTTTTAAGCTAATAAGTGAGGCATCTTAGGTACAATTTTTTTTAATTTTATTCTAGGAGAGGAAAAAGTATCGATAGATCAGATGCCTAGAAATAAAAAAGTTCATTATTTTTACATTCCTATATCTCTCATGAAAGATAATTAAGAAATTTAACTATACTAGTAAATAATAAACTAGTAAAAAATAACTATTAAATTAATTTTTTGGGGTGTTCCAAATATCTTACGTACAAAAACTTAAGTATCTCACCTATCTACTTAACCAAGAAATTATCCTGATTCTTTTTATTTAATCACTTGAAGTCTTTTCACATCCCATTTAAAATCACCATTATTAACAATATTATATTAATGATTTATTATTTCGATTTATTAATATTTGAAAACATTATAGATATAAATTTAATTATAATTTTCTGAAAAAAGTAAATATAAAACAAACATTAAACGAAATACACTGAGAGAAAAATGCTAAAGTATTGCGAAACAAATCTTACTTACGACGTTTTCTTCGATAATTATTAGTTACGAAAAAATTTAATCGTGATGACAAAATATTTCTGCGAATCCCATTAATTGTAAAAAAAAAATTAAATAAACAGCTTATTTGCTAAGAATAAAATTGTTTTTTGCCGTATTTAAATATAAAAATGTATTTCAATAAAATAAACTATTAGTAATAAAATATTTTCCAAAGTAAATTTTTAAGTATCTTTTTCTCAGTGTAAGCACGTAGCTTATTATGACAGTACTTCAAAAAAATTAAGATTTTAATTTATAACGCTTTTTCGTTACGAGTTTTCGATAGAACTGAATATTTAAAGATTTCGCAAAGAATAGTTATTAAAAAAAACAAATATGTTAAACAAAATAATATTTTATAACAATTCACATTTTTTCGCCGCTGCGCTGACATAAAATACTTCATACTAAGAAAAAAATATCAAAGTATTGCAAAGCAAATGTCATTTACAATGTTTTTCCGATATTTATTAGTTACCAAAAAAAAATTGATTTCGATGAAAATACATATTTCCGCATATCTCATTAATTATAAAAAAATAAAAAAGATGGCTTATTTGCTAAGAATAAAATTTTCTTTCACCGTATAATTCTAATTCCGTTATAATTTTAATTCACCGTATTAAACAAAGATTTATTATATTTCAATAAAATAAATACATTTCTCACAAAAAAATTTTAAAAAGTATATTTTTCTTACTGCACATGGCTATTTCAGGTTAAAAGTTAGTAGTATTGTCTAAAACAAATAAATCATCTTTAATGGATTACTTTAATTTACACGCTACCAAGATGCAGATTAAATCAACGGATTCTTGTAATGACAGATTAAATGTTAGTCGATAAGTGCGGTGATAATCTACCGCAAGATAACAGCGGGATCATAAAAGATAGTTTCACGCTGATCGCTCACTGCCATTTACATCCCCGTTGTCAGTTACTCGTGTGAAAAATGCAATAGAAACGAATGAATCTATACGCGGTTCCTGCGGATCACCGTTGAATATGCTACGTTCGATCCCGCTGGCCGTGCGAGCGCGATAAATTTCATCGACTGACGTGGGATTAGATTTCGAATGAAGTCGGTACACGGCCGGGTATTCGTATTGCAGAGTACTTAACGTCGTGTAACGACCGCGGGAGGTTCGTGTCGCGGTCGCGACTCGCCGCGGGTCGGGCTGATTAATGTCTCCAGCCGGCGTATCTGGGACCCCTGACACCGCCGATGAAGCGTGTCGCGGTGGTGCGATGTCAAGGATACAGTACCTCAGTAGCACGACGACTTTAGGTAATGAATCTGCGGAGATTCTTAACGACATCGGGGGGAGAGTTACGAGGAAATGCGCGTTGCGGCGATCAAAATTCGCGAAACCGCAAAACCGGCAAACTTGCGGCGATATGACGTTTTTACAATATCCGTGCGATTACCGTTACATCAGGACACAAACGCGTTTCTCGTCCACTAGACGTTCGCGACACAATGCCTGATATCTATGAGCGCGCGATTGGAAAAGCTATAAAAAATTTACTGGCACGGTAAAAGATGGAAGTAAAATTGAGTTATGTACGCGAGTTCCTCGCGTTTCTGCATGATTTTAACATAACGTCAGTATTTCGAAAAGAATTAGCTGTTAATAAAACATAAAGTGGTCACACATACGTTTCCTGTTTAATATTAGGTATCTATTTATGTAAAAAATAAAAGTGCATACCCGGAAAGAACGGATTTGTTAAAGTATCTAAAAATTTAGTTTGATACACGCCTGAAAATAATTTTGTCGAATTGGAAAAATAAATTAGCAATAGTTGCTAGAATATACACAATTTTTTGCAACATTGATCATCGTGTTAAGTTTTCTATTAAGTTTCATAATTATTTTGATGGTTGGACAAAAATATTTTCTGATCTGTATCTAATTAAATTGTTAAATACTTCAGTAAAATTTTTCTTTCCGTATATCTGTCGGTATTGTGTTGATGCCAAAGATACAAAGTGTTCATATAACATCTGTAATGACATTACCTACGTAATCGGAATCAACATT